GCAATGAATAGATAAAGATGATGTTTCAAACTCTGCTGGTTATGTTGAAAACCTTAGCCAGAAAATGAAAGCTAGACTCAAAACCCCCTCCCCTAATAATGTACTTTATGCCTAGAATTTACATGAAATGGATCAAAAGGTTTTTCATCCTTATCTTTGTTACATGGAAGTGCATCCTGCACTTTTTACATTGTATGTGGTTTAGCTATGAATTTCCATGTTTTCTGGACACAAGTTAATTATGGATTGTGTGAAGTACTACTTCTTATTGTTTTAAAAACCTCTTTCATTCTCATGGAATCTTTCTTATCTATATAAAACAAAAAGTTAGTTTACCCTAATTCCCCCCCCGAGTTTTTATTCAGTAAGTTTTATTATAAGGTATTATAGATTCCAATTGTCATTCATATTTAACGGAGGACTACTCCATTTTTCAAAGTCAGGCAACATCATGTTCTTGTTTCTTTTACACATGAAACTCAAATCAGATCTGAGTTCCAGTTTATCCTGTTGGATGAAAAACTAACTGCAGCAGTGTGTTGTGAAGTGAGTTTTACTGGGATCTTTGCCACCTTGATCCAAAGTTCTCATACGCAATGCCCAGCCACTGCTGAAAGGACTCCCCTCTGCAAGTGCCCTCCTGAAAGCACCTAATGCTAGGTCAGGTGGAGGTACCTGATCTGTGCTGGCAGCTTTCATCAGTACCAGAGGCACTGTCCACGACTGGCTTTCTGACTGGTCAAAGTTTGGGTGCGTTTGTTTGCCCACATCACTAATTGTTTACATTATAAACTACATGATGAGTTAAACACAATAACATACAGATCAGGGTCTTCAACCCACAAACTGGTTTCAAGGTCAACCAAGTTACTGAGATTCATACATGCATGCAACAGTGCCCATTTTTTCTGATCTTTCTTAAATGTGAAACACGAAAATTATGGAAATGCATTTAAGATAGGATAAAACTTCAGCTGCTATTTGGCTACCCTCCAAAAATATGCAACTCCCCCTCTCGACAAACAAAACAATAGAGAACTGAATGTTAATTGGAATTTCATCTTTTATGATGAAATGGTACCTCTGTGGATGAGGTAAGAGCAGAGGGTAACATTCACCTTGATTTCAGCTGGAGTATCCACTTGGGTTCTCATGGCATCCCTCTAGCCAAATGTAAATGTAACTGGGTCGAAAGACTACGGGGTAGGTATACATGGCATATAGTTGGCTGGACTGCCAGGATCAAAAGGCTTGCAATCAGTAGTTTGAAATCTTACTGGCAGTTAGTTCTATTCCTCAAGGAGCTTATTAGGGCTTATGCTGTTTGACACAGTGATCTGATTGGTGAGTTGGAATGCATCCTCAGCATGTGCATGATGTGAAACCAGGGAAGTGGTCAACACGCTGGAGAACAGGGTTGCTGCGTAAATGGCCTGATAGGACAAAGTCTTGCACTCAGGACAACCCCCTCCCATGAAATGCTGTAGGCTGGGGACTGACTGATGAGGTGGTAGCTCTGCAAAAAGGGACCTGTGGATCCAGTTAAAAACTGGAACAAGGGTCAACACTGCAGCTTTATTACAATTAAGGCTAAACACATGCCATGCTACATTAACAAGCATACAGCCAGCAGATGAAGGGCAATGATTATTCTCCTCTGTTTAGCATTTGCGAGGCCAACATCTGCAATACTGTGTCCAGTTTGGGCTCCTAAGTATGCTAGATACTTAGAAGATGAACAGTATCCAGAAGAAGGTAACCAAGCTGGTTCCAGGGATTGGAGCATGTGACCTAAGGAGAGGTTAAAGGAATTCAGATTCCTTATCTTGAAGAAGAGAACACTGAGCACGTAATCCCAATGCTTCACTGAATGGGTTATGAAGAAGGCGAAACTATATTTTTTTGAAGGTGAATAGGGGAAGGACAAGAGAGAATAGCCCTGGCTGGATGCCAGGTGCCCTCCAAAGCCCCTCTATCCCTCCCCTTCTTAATCGGACAGGGGAGGGAAAATATAATGAAAGCTCATGAGTTGAGCTAAGGATGGGGAGAGATCCTTCGGCAAAACAGACCCAGCTTGGAGAAATTAATTGAATTAATTAGTAATCAAAATCAAAGTAGGATAATGAAAAGTAAAATTAATCTTAAAAACATTCGTCCCACACCCCTCTCTTCTTCCCAGTCTTAACTTTATTCCCAATTCTCTACCTCCTTCCTGCCAGCAGCACAGGGGGATAGGGAATTGGAGTTATGTCATATTGTTTCTGCTGCTGCTTCTTCGTCAGGGCGAGGAGTTCTTCCCCTGCTCCAACATGAGTTCTTCCCACAGGTTGCAGTTCTTCATGAAGTGCTCCAGCATGGGTCCTTTTTTTCAATAGTCAGTCCTTCAGGAACAAACTGCTCCACTGTGGGTCCCCCATGGGATCACAACTCCTGCGAACAAACCTGCTCTAGTGTGGACTCCTCTGTCCACAGGTCCACAGGTCCTGCCAGAAGCCTTCTCCAGTGTGAGCTTCCCACAGCATCACAGTCTCCTTTTGGCATACACCTGCTCCAGTGTGAGGTCCTCCATGGGCTACAGGGGCACAGCTGCCTCACCATGGTCTGCACCACGGGCTGCAGGGTAATATCAGGTCTGGCACCTGAAGCACTTCCTTCCCTGGCCTTGGTGTCTGCTGGGCTGTTTCTCACATATTCTCACTCCTCTCTTCTCTGGCCACAATTACAATTTTTCTTTCTTAATTTTATTATCACAGAGGTGTTACATTGCTGACTGGCTTGGCCTTGGCCAGCAGAAGGTCTGCCTTGGAGCTGGCTGGCATTGGCTCTGTCAGACATGTGGGAAGCTTTCAGCATCTTCTCAGAGAAGCCACCCCTATAGCCCCTCGACTACCAAAACTTTGCCAAGCAAACCTGACACAGGCCATAAAGTGCAAACAAAGAAACTTCAATCGGATTTGAGGGGGAAAAAAGTCACATTGAATGTGGCTAAACACAGAAGCCCAAATACAACCAAGAGATTCTAAATTTCTATTGCTGATTTATGATTTTCAGGTTGCTTTTCTCTTTCTTATTTTTTGATCACTCAATAAAATTATATTGGTGACAAGGCTACCAGTGTTCATAGTAAATAACCAACACACAAAGTTAAGCAGTTTGTTACTCTACTCTTTAAACCTTTGTAGTGCAGTGGCATCAGAGAGAAAGGAAGATAATCTTTGAATCTGATTCTCACATCTCCTGGGAGATGTGGAATGTTAATTCTCTGAGTTCAATACTTGGTCAAGTACAACAGTCAGTAGGCTGTTGTGCAGAACTAGAGCTCTCAGCCATGTTCCTTGCACTTTGTTACCCATGAGCTTTGCAGTTTTACCCAAATGCTCTATATATGGGCTGAGCACAGGTGCATGGCTGGGTGGACTTTAAGCCTCTTCCACTCTGTGTCTAAAACACAACAGAGATCAGGAAATAGCTAAGCTCGAAGTGAGACCACCTCTGCACATATGTAGAGACCCAAACCCTGTGTTTGGTTGTCTGACATAAAGGTTTCAACTGACTTCTGCTGTACTTTAGAGTTAAGATGCTACTTGGCACTTGGCTGTTTGAAACTGTTCTCTGATACCTGAGGTGTTCCCAGTTTATTAAGCAAAACCCAAGTGCAATTTATGGAATTTGAATTTGTCCTCACATTGCTTTGGAAAAAGTCTGATTAGTGAAATGAATGTCCATGTTTTAAAAGAAGACATTATTGTGTACAAGTGGATGGCCACAGACGGTAAGGTCTCTCCATGTCTCATTTGAGAAAGTGTGAGATATCTTACTCTAAGATGAACTGTAAGCTGCCTTGTAACTTTGAAACCATGATCCCATCTCCATTAAGAAGTGATGCTATTACAAGTCTGAGCTTGACAGATTGTTTCCATGTTAGTACCATCACTTAGCATTTTGTTTTCTGTAACGATGTGCTTATTCTTTACATTTCCTTCCAGGTTTTCCTTAAACAGCCGAAGCTTTTCCTTACATGTAAGAAAAGTTAATTGCATCCTTTCCCTTGGCAGAAACTGAGTATTACCTTTCCATCAACCCAAGCTGCCCACAGAAGTGCACTAAAGTAGCACAGGACTAAGCAGGCTCCCCGTGAAACGTATCTGGAGACTCTGCTGCCCGGGCACCGACGTCCTCTTGGCGATATTTGCAATACAGATCACATCATTCTCTCTCTGAAAAGGAGTTTTTCCTCCAGGTGTTCAAAAAATTAATTTCTCTTTTGTGGGTTCATTAGAACTAGGAATTTAGTTTGTATTGGTTTGGGGGTTTTGTGTGTGTGTTTGTACGTATTTAAATTGTAACAGCACAGACCAGGCTGAGAGGGGGCAGAAATGCCACCTCAAGTGATGGTGCCACTGGTGTCCGAGCAGCGGTGCCCTCAGGGCAGCCCTGTACATCGCGGGTGTGCGCGGGATCAGCGCGGACCTTTCTCCCGCAGGGACAAAGACGACGCCAGTTTCCGCCGCCCGCCGGGTCAGCCCTGCGGCGGGCGCTGCGCCTCAGTCCGCCCCGGCGGCCCGCTCGGCGCGGCAGCACCGCCCCTCGCCCCAGCCCCAGCCCCAGCCCCAGCCTCGGCCCGTCCGGGCTGCCCCGCCCCGCCGGCACCTGTGCGGCCAAGCCGCGCTACGGCAGCGCCGCGCCTGCGCATTGGGCGGGCGCTCGCCGCCAGGGCCGCAGTCACTTCCTGCCCTCGTGCCCATCCGGCTCCGGGGTCAGCGGCCGCCGCTCTGGCGGGACAGCGGCGAATAAAGTTTAATTCGGGGAGAGGGAAGCCGGCCGTCCTCTCCAGGTAGGGCCGGCCCGCCGTGCCCGCCCGCCGCGCTTTCTCCATCCCGTCGGGCGCCTGCTGTCACCTGCGGCCGCGCGCCGCTCTCGCCAGGGCTGCGCGTGGCGGGCGCGCCCGACTCCGGCTGCGACAGCGCCCGGGAGCGCCCGGCCCGGCCCGGGAGCGCTGCCGCCGCTGTGGCTGCCGGGGCGCGGCTTTGCCCCCGCTCCCGCGGGCGCGGAGGGACCCCCTCTCGGTGGCAGGGCTGCGGGACGAAGCTGCGAGGTGGGGACGGAACGCGGCGGGAGCCGCCCGCGGAGGGGGCGCGGGGCCGCGCCGGGCCGGGCCGGGCTGGGCTCGATGCAGGACGCGGCCGGGGGCTCTCCCGGGGCCGGGGCGCAGGTGGCGGCAGGGCGGGAGCGGAGCCGAGCGCGGCGTGGCCGTTGCAGAGGGCGGTGTGGGACCTGCCGACAACAATGGGAACTTTTCCTGCGCCGAGGGTGCCGCTGCCTCCGGCCTGCCCGGCCCTGCCGCCGCAGGATGTGGGTGTGCGGAGTTTTCTGCTGAGCCGCCTGTGCTTCGGCCGTGACAGCTAATTTGCTTATTTCAGCAGAAGCGAGCTGCTGGATGTAGAAAGAAAGTGGGTCGTGCTCACGGAAAATGCCTTTAAGGGACAAGTGTTGTCAGACTGACCACCATCACCATGGATGCTGTGAGCCAGGTATAGTGCTGTGTGATGCTTCACATGTTTTGCATATCCCCTTCGTTTAAAGCTTGCAGAAACCTTTGCGATGGTTGCAAATGTGTATCGTGCGTGTCACTTCTGGATATAAAACGTTTCTGAATTTTGTTTGGAAATGTTTTTTTGATATCTGTGCACTGTCGCTTCAAGATTATTTCAGGAAGAGAATTTTTCCTGAATGCAGGATGTGCAGTAATTCCCGAGCCACCACGTGGGCATTGTATGCAGTGAGCAGAGGAAGGCAAGAAGCGGTGTGAAACAACTGGTCTTTTTGTTTCCAAAAAGTGCAGTGTTCCGAGTCTTTTGTAAAATGATGTTTCTGGCAATCTCTTACATTCGTTGTTTATATTTTCACTCCGTGTCTTCTCTGGTGAGCTCTGATGAACTTGAAGATCTTATTCTCAGAGAAGAAAAAACCCACCATGTCCTGAAATGGCTGTTTGCATTCCACTGCTGTGTGATGTGGAAGGTACCATCGGTGGAAAATACAATGAATACCAACCTGCTAGACATTTTTTAAATTGTTCTGCCTACTGTTATAGTTGGTATCCTTAAAGAAAATTTTGTTCCTTTCTGTTTACCTTCTTGTAGAGTTTATTTGGATGCTTTCACCTGTGTTTTGGAAAGAAAGGTGCTATTTGGATGCTTTCACTTTTGTTTTGGGAAATTAATAGTTAAAAGTGTGAGCATGGCCACTTTGATTATGCTCCTTTAGTTGAATGTAATTTGCAAGTAGTTATTGTTCAGTTAGTAGAATAATTTCTTTGTGTTGATTAAATGGTTTTGAGTTGTTCTAATGCTTTAAACAAGCTGAAATACTTTTCTTACCTTACAAATTAACAGCGGTGTGTTACATCTGCTTCACCTGCATTACTCCTGTGGATGTCAGTGGGTGTTGTACATGCATATGTGTAGAGGCAGTGTGGAAACTAAAATATATTATTTTCAAGTATAGGGAGTAGGCTAGTAGAATACAATACGTCATTCTATTAGAGATCCTCAAATGATTAGCTGATTTGTAATGGCTGTTATGTGTGTATTTAGAGTGTTTTTCTTTTGATATTCTTTTCAGTTTGAATTTATTTATAACCTTACATTTTTTAACTCAACTTTCCTGTCAAAATTTGTTTCATCTTTAAATAGTAAATCTGTGAGTAGTTTTATGCTATGTCTCTACTACTCTTTATTAAGAAAAGATTTCTTAGAGGTGCTTCATTTAGAAACTGAAACCTTAAACTGGGGTTAAAATCAAACCAGGTGGATAAGGTGGGAACTGGTTTATGAAGTACAAAGCTGACTGTTTTGTCAATAAGAAGTAAAAAAAAAGACCTAATTAATGATTTTGCAAACAAAAAATTTGGTTTTCTCTCTGGGCAAAGCTTAATTGCCGTATGCATATACAGCAGTGGAATGCAATTAATTTTCACATGCATAACTACTGCATATTGGAATAACTAATAATCATCCTGATCAATATATATTTTAGTTTCAATAGCTTTTATGAAGAATACGATGTGGCATGAAACATCAGAAATAAGATATTACTTCAGTTTACTTGAACCAGAAGCATGTCTTGAATGTGGTTTTGTTGGTTAAAAATATTATGATAACTCTTTTTGATATACACTGTGCAGTTATGCTTGTGCTTTTTTTCTGATCATTGCTACTTTAAATTTGGTTTCATGGTTGCGTACTAGCAACATTGAAGGCCTATAGTATGCTGTGAAGTACAGTATTGGTAATGCTTTTCTGTACATTTGTTTTGGTTTTAACAATGGGATTATTCTAGGGAATTGCTTTAATTGACAGAAATTTCCAGTGAGTTAATTTGGTTTTATATATTTATATGTTTTTGTGTTTGCATTTGCTACAAGTAGCTTTGAATACACGTTTTCTTTAAATAGTCAAAATTACGGCAAACTGTCGGAAGGTATCATGGCTGCAAAATTCAGTATTGACTTGTTTAATTCAATCTAGATGAAAATTGTAGAATAAGACTAATTTTACTATAGTCCTGGCCTTTCTTTTTATCTAGTTTACTGTATGTGTGGAAAATTCATAACTTATAGGAATCACCTGACTGTTCTCTAATAGCTTATTATCCTTTTATATATTTCAGTACACCTGTTGGAACCTGGTGATCCTCCGTTACTGCAGCAGCCTCTGCAAACGTCAAAATCTGGTATTCAGCAAATCATTGAATGTTTTCGATCAGGTATGAAACTGTGCCTGACTCTGAAAAAGTTCCTTACCTTTTTATAAGAGTTACGTATATTTACTATATTAAAATAACCAACACCTGACTTCCTGCATATTGGCAAACTATTTGCAGATTTTTGGATTTAAGTGTTCCTTTTAATAAGAGTTTTCATATAAAGTAATGAAGAAATAGATCTTTCAGAATCATTAAAAATTATTTTTTTGTACTGCTTTGTGTCATTTCACCTGCTTTTATTAATTTTTATCGTAAAACTGCTGACATGAAGAGAAAACTTTACCTTGAACTTCTTAAATTGCATTATCATGTTACTTTTAAGGTGTTTCTTGATTGTTTTTGGGAGTTGCAATACATAGCAATGAATCTAAGAACAACAACTGAGCATTTCGAGGGAGCATCCCAGAGATGATTGAAATGTTTAATGTTTTCTAGCTGTTTCTTCACTTCTGATACGGCAAACCAAACATTTTATTTTCATAACCCTTGGTCCTTAGTGCTCCTAAGAATGTGTTTCTAGATTTTTCTACATAGAGCTGTTAAGTATATGAAATGTGTCATGTATAAGTCATTGCTGCTGTGCAATGGAATGCATATCTGGTCTGAGTCTTGTAAAAAGGACACAGAGTTCAAGTTGTCCACTAGCATTTCAACAACTTACTACAAAAACTGGATGTGAGATTATTCATTAGTAACATTTTTTAGTTTGATTGAGGTTGCCTGAGGCCTCAGATATGTGTGACAGGCTTCTTTCACTTGAAGCAGATCATTGTAATCCCTGCTGGTAATACCACAAACTAGTTGCAAGTATTTTGTCTCTGGGATACTTCCAGATTGTCCTCACTGGTGTTAAATTGATAGCTTACTTTGATGTCTTCAGTCATCTGCATCAGGAAAGTTGGACAGAAGGCAAAAGAACCTAGAGCAAGATTTCTGGTTGGTTTTGAACATGCAACATTTCATTATGGAGAGTATTTTGACTCTTGTGGTATAGATATAGAGATTTAAGAAATTTTATCAAAAGCTTCTGTCACCCAAGGCATTAAGAGTAACAGGTGAATTTGAATCTATTTTTCTTTTCTAAAAAAAGAAATTGTTTGCTAAAGGCACATAATTTGGTATTCTAAGAGACAGGTATTAGTTATGATCAATGTTTTCTACTGATTTCTTGTGACTATGATGTTATTCTAGCATCAATATTTACGAATATTAAGAAAATTGGACAAGGTATCACTGCCCCACTTAGATGTAACTACAAAATAGAGAAGACTTCGGTAAGCTGGAGGCAGCGTATGTGGGCAGAACTGACTGCTTTTTGCCACAATCTACAGTAGGTGAAGAATAAGGAGGTGATTTGCTTTTCCTCTACCTGCTGTGTCCACAAAACCAGTGGACGTTGTAAATTCATTTGCAGTTTTCAGAAGTTCCTAAAGGTCTGCAGTTTAATTCAAAAGGATCAATTATTTTCTGCTCCCACCAGTGAAAAGCTTCATAGTTGCATAAGGGTGATTTGAAGCCAGAGTGACTACTGTGTCATATAGTGTGACTTTCAGTATCTCATAAATCCTTTAATCTCATCCAGTAATTCTTAAACCCAGTAATTTGTATTGGAAAAAAAACATTTCAGTGCTGAACAGGGGGAGACTGAAATATCACTCTAACAGGAGAGAGAATGAGGAACTTTGGTGTCCCTCAGTTGGGAAGTAGTGGAGATGATTCGATGATTTTTTTTTTTTTTTTCTTTTTTTGGGAGAGGAGTTTGTGGCTAGAGTGTGCATGAACAGCATGAGCGAATTCTGGTTTATTGTGTGCTGTCACCAAATTGGAAGCATTTTGTTTGAAATATAATTTGGTATGAATTATAGTTTTGTATGTCACAGGAATTTTATTTGCATGGAGGATCTTCAGTTTTGTTCAGACAGGGTTTTGTCAGTGGTTGTCTTTATATGCAGAAATTCAAATGTTGGTTGGTGAGATCTGAGTAAACAACTTGCTTTTGGGGGGAACTCTCTACAATTTTTGTTTGTTGCTATATCTAAATATTTGTCCAGTAGTCTGTTTGTAAAAATGCAGGTCAAATGAAGGTGAGGTTAATAACACTAAAAGAAAGAGCAGTGAGAGGTGGCCCAGGAAGGCATAGGAGAGGACAAAAACTGGATGGTAGCCTCAGATGGTCAAGTTTGGGTTCCAGTTTTAAACAACCGTTGAAGAAGACAACAACACTGTACTTTGCTAAAACTCAGTTGTAAAACATTTTGTGGTACTACTGTACCAAGAAATAAAAGGTTTTCTTGGTAAAGCCTATTAGTATTGAAGAACTGCTAGGTAATATGAAATTATTCATATTTGAAAGAGTTTCATTCAGAAAATAGTTCTGCAGTGTGACTCTGAGTTTGGTCTTTAAAAGGAATTCTTAAGAGAAGTGTATGTGGTGATAGAGCACTTGAACATTTATTTCAGTTTGAAGAATGTCTTGCTGCTGTTTCATAGGTGTCTGATATTATTTATTCATGGTCCAGTTTCATTATATTTTTGCTTGTTTGATTAGTTTTGATTAATTCAATTCTAAGAAAAATCAAGATCGGGAAATTAGCTAAATTTGGTTAGTGTTTTTTTTTTTCTAATTTGGAGTGGGTAAGTATTCATCATTCATGCTAATTGTAGACATTACTTTCATAATTTTCTTGAGGTAAGAAATGAAGGCGTAAGTTTGAAGTGTAAAAAAACTGTATTCTTTATTTCTTTAAGCATGGCAGAGGCTGGAATACATCAACAATGCTAGATCTAATTATCTTTAGATAAAATGTATAATAGTCTCAAAAACTGGCATATTTTGTCACGCTGCCTATTTTTTAATAGAGAAGTTTTGGATTTAATTATCTGTATTTTCCTTTCATTGGACTGAAAATATGTCTACGTATCTACTGTGTCACCTAAGCATCATCATCTTGGTATTGGGTCAGATACCTAGATGCAGTAACATTTCTTCACCTATTAGTTATTCTATTTGCTTTATTTCATGCTTTAGTTTTTTGCCTTACCGGGTGCTGTTTTTCCATGAAATGGCTGCATATATCTTTTCTTAGCATTGTTGGATAACCCTAGAGGAAAAAATACTACAGGCTTCTTTAAATGCTCTAGGTGCTTATTCCTTCCTGTTGGGCAGTTGTATTGCAGCAACCTAATACTGTAGTGTGGACTCTTTCCTAACGTCAGCTGTTAGTTTTTATCATAAATCATTGCACTTCCCTGTAAACTGTAACGTGCGTAATCCTGGAGGATTTTTTTCATACTAGTCTGTTTTTCATAGTGAAATTTGGAGTATGTATCATAAACTTATAGTGCAATGAAATAGCATTAACAAAAGATAAAATGCTGTTATAATTATTCATGTTTTAAAATGTTTCCACTTTCATGGGATGATGTGAATTAAAAGATGAACAGAAAACCTTCCCTAAGTGTAATATTTCCTTTATTACAGGAACGAAACAACTTAAACATATCTTGTTAAAAGATGTGGACACCATTTTTGAGTGTAAATTGTGCCGGAGTCTCTTCAGAGGATTACCAAATTTAATTACTCATAAAAAGTTTTATTGTCCTCCAAGTCTTCAGATGGATGATAGTAAGTCTTACTAATTGAAATATTTAATAAAGCTATATGAAGTTGAAAAAATTACCTTTCTTTACCATTTATACAAACACGTCTGAAAGAAAAATGCAAAAGAAAAGGTGGAGTTACATTTCAGTAATAACATGTAGATCACTTTTATGGTATTGAAGAAGTTACAGCATTGACTTTATATGAATTAACAACTACGACCCATGCCGATGTCATAATTAGCTAGGTAGTTTGACACTCTTAATCAAAAGGTTGGATGTACACTCTTAACACTTGCTATTCCTCTGTCCCCTTTTTCTTTCCTCTCTGTCCTTCTTTACTGTGAAAGATAGAGAAAGTATGTCAAAGGACTGAGAAATAATCTCGCAGAAAGAGTGGGTCTAAAAGATCTTTCAGTTTTAGATCATCATAGCTGTGGTGGACTTCAGCTGGATCCTGGCTTGGGTCAACATCCATAGTATTCTCCTGTGCTGGGGAAGCACTTATAGTGCTTGTGTCATGGATACAGTCTTTTAGTCTTATTCATTATGAAACATGGACTAAAAAGTTTACCCTTTTCTTTAACGACCTGTGCTTCACTTCACTTTATGCTGCTTTAACATAATCGATGTGATCAGACCTAACCCAAAACCTTTGTTGTAGAAATTAAACATTATTATTAAAACAAATAACTTAAGTGATGAAAAAATCAAAAAACTGTATTTTTATGGAAAAAAAAAACCTTATTAATAAGTCTCATTCCAGTGAAGATTTTTGTTGAAGCTGATTACTTTGAAAATGCGCCAGCATTCAAAAATGTTTCGTAAACTTTTCTAATTATCGTGATCTCTTGACTAGATCAACGTAGGTGTAGTGAGGATTTTTCTTTCCTGATTAATGCTTTCCTACCTCAATATTTAAAATATTGGGAACAAACAGATATACTTAGATGACTCTTTTCCCATGTAGTGTCAGCTAGTGCTGTGAAGGAGAAGGTGAAAAGACTGGTACTCTCAACTTCCTTAAATATGTGTGCTTGGCTAGTTAGAGAGTCACCGAGCTTCTCTGTGAAAAGGGATGACTTGTATTTTCAAAGCAAGGTTAGAAGTGCATCTGACTTAGATGCAATAGGTTCTGAGTGAAACAGGATGACGCTGAGGAAACACTTCATGTCCAGTTCCTGACATTCTAGCTGTTGAGTGATTAACTTCCATATGTTTTATGAAGTAACATAAAAGTTACATACTCACTGTTCACTATGAGAGGTGAAAATAAAGGGAATAACAATACATGCTCTGAATAAAACTGTATAAATACTTAAGTTTTCTATGAAATTGAATATAGTTATTATTGACTTAAGTGAGAGTTTTTTTCAATAAATAAAAGATAGTGAAAAAGAAGCAGGACCCCATGGTAAAGAATTCCAAAGAGTATGCCCTCATAACTTTTTTGAGATGCATTCATTTAATATAATCACAAAGTAGTCTTAAAAGTTGCTATAAAATAGGAAGGACTTTTTACTTTTGGTAAAAATTATATGAATAGTCCCATCTGAAACTGAACTGCAAAAGCTGTTAAAAATTCAGTGTTAAAAGATGGGTCCTGAGCAACAAAAGAGCGTATTTCTTGTACTGACGCTCTTCCTATGTGTTGCTGAGAGTGTTGAAGGAATAACTGAGTGTGGGTTTTTAATTAGCTGTTACCAGGAATCACATCTTTAAAATTATTCACAGTGATTTGAACTGTGTCATCTCAGTGCCTCACCTTTCTGCTGTAGTACCCTGGCTTCCTCTTTATGCTAGTGCAGATGCTTCATGTATTATGCTGGGAACTAGATCACTGAACTAATCTGGCATTTAATAACAGAATATTACTGAGCCCTGTAAAATAGTATCTACTTATGTCCTCATGCAATGCTCAGGTTACACAGATGTTTCATTCTTTGTAAGGATTGTTCAGAATTCACAGAGAAGAGCTTATTTCCAGAATTAGGTTCCTTTGTTGATAGTGCCTGTTTCCAGCAGTAGGAAAATTGGTTTCTAATGATACTTCAGGCTTAGTTGCACACCTGCAGAACAAGCTCAGTCAAATGATGTTATTTTCGCAATTGATACAGATTTTTTAAAGACCAGCTTAATTCTGAGCATACAGATTTTTAGTTCAGGTGGCTTTTGCATTAGCATGCTAGAAGGGTGTATTTCCAATGTTGGCTTTTAATAAAAAAGCAACTTGTAATGATTACTCGAAACCTCCGAGTGTTCAGAGAGTATAAATACAGGATTTGTGCAAATTTGGAGACTGAATTCACACAGTGTTTAAAAGCTACTTCGAGATTTTAATAATTGGAAATAACCAAATCATTAAAAAATACCTTTTCCTCTTTTCACAGACCTTCCAGATATAAAAGATAAGCAGAGTCAAGCCATAAATGACCTCCTTGAAGCCATCTATCCACGGGTAGATAAGCAAGAATATGTAATTACATTGGAACCTATAGAAACTAATCAAAATGCTGTATTTCAATATGTGTCAAGGACTGATAGCCCAGATGAGAACACAGAAAGTAGCCATACCCCTGATCAAGCTCCAGTACAGGTACAGGAACCCAACACTGAGCAACCCAAGACTCTTTCAGCTCCAGCACCAGTCCCAGCTGGGGAGACAGTAGAATTACCTCCTGCTGATCCTGTTACAAACAAGGTGATACCTACTCCTGAAGAACAGCCTCCAGCAGTAAATCCTGAGTTGGACTCTCTGGATAATTCTGATTATGGCCACCAGTTGATTTGTTGCCTTTGTAGGAAAGAATTTCATTCAAGACGCAGTGTACGCCGGCACATTCGAAAAGTGCACAAAAAAAAGATGGAAGAGCTAAAGAAGTACATAGAAACAAAAAAGAAACCAAACCAATGCTCTGCAAAAGGACGAAATAAGAATGTTCTTGTAGCATTAGGTAGAAGTTGTCCTGTATGTTATAAATCATTTGCTACAAAAGCCAACGTAAGGAGGCATTTCGATGAAGTTCATAGAGGATTAAGGAGGGATTCCATTACTCCTGATATAGCTACCAAGCCTGGGCAACCTTTGTTCTTGGATACAGTTTCTGCTAAAAAATCTTTTAAGACCCGAAAACAAAAGTCATCTTCAAAGGCTGAATACAATTTAACTGCATGCAAGTGCCTTCTGTGCAAGAGAAAATATAGTTCACAAATAATGCTGAAAAGGCACATGCAAATTGTTCACAAGATAACTCTTTCTGGAAAGAACTCTAAAAGAGAGAAAGGAGCCAACAATACTGCCAATGGCACAGAAAAAAAAGTTGAATCAGCAGATTCTGTAGAACCTTCACCCCCTTCCATTACTCTTTCTCCACAGAATGAATTAAAGGGAACAAATCATTCAAATGAGAAAAAGAACATACCATCAGCACAGAAAAACAGAGTTAAACAAGATGCTGAAAACCCTAAATCAACTTCTAAATCAACCTCCAAATCAACCTCCAAATCAACCGCTAAATCAACCTCCAAATCGACCAATGCATCTGCTGCAGGTGGCCAGCAAAAAAACAGGAAGCCAAAACTTTCAGCTGGCTTTGACTTCAAGCAGCTTTACTGTAAACTCTGTAAGCGCCAATTTACTTCTAAACAGAACTTGACAAAACATATTGAATTACACACAGATGGAAATAATATTTATGTTAAATACTACAGGTGTCCACTCTGCTCTTACGAAACGCGTCGCAAACGTGATGTGATAAGGCACATAACTGTGGTTCATAAAAAATCACCACGCTACCTTGGGAAAATAACTGCAAGTTTAGAAATTAGAGCAATTAAAAAGCCAATTGATCTTGTTCTAAATAAGGTGACAAAAAGAGGCCCTCAGAGGGATGAAACAAAACAGATTGGTTCAAAACAGGATATCACATCTAATTCTCCCAATAAAAAGTATGAAGGAGCTGATGTTGGCATTGAAGTAAAAGTAACAAAAAACTTTTCTCTGCACCGATGCAATAAATGCGGGAAAGCATTTGCCAGAAAAGCTTTTCTAGAACATCATAAGAAAACCCACAAAGCAAATGTATCTCATTCACCTGAAGAAAATAAAACCAAAGGCAGAAGTACAAGATCTAAAGCTGTTGTCTGGTGAGGAAAAATAAAAAGTGTTTTGTCTTTTTTTTTTTTTTGTCCTTTTTTTTTTTTTTAAACCCCAACAATTCCACTGAATTTCTTGTGCTGTTGTTGATTTGTTGCCGAAAACATGTTTTCTCATGGATTTTATGGTTTAGTGGCTTAAATGCAACGGTAGATTTCAAATTCGTTTCTTATATTTTGGTTTTAGCATTTTTGAAAAGAGGCAAAATCTTAATTTGTGTTTGTAGGAAGCTGGAATATACATTAAACTGTATTGAGTCAACTCTTTAAATTGTCTTAAGGCATCTGTTGTAATCAAACTAATATTTTTGAAATAGCAATTTTTTAAAATTAATAATAATTTGGTTTGGTTTGGATAACATAATCTGTTAATTAACTTCATTGTGACCAGTTGAAGAAGTACTAAAGACACTACAGTAAAAGCTGTTAAAAGTCTGTGAATTTACTGGAATTGGCATTTGTGAATTTAATTATTTTTTTTTTTTTATATTTAATGTGTATTGCCTATACCCTGTCAACAAAAATGCATAGAACAGTTTTTTGAATGTAATTTGGTTGCCTAACTGCTTTGATTTAAAATCGTGGATTAGGTGCCTGCAAACACCTTTGAAATAATCAAATTTAGGATTTTATTCTTTTAATGCTTATTTATATAAGCCTGGGTTTGGAAACTTCTGGTCATTATTGGTTTAAATTGTTCAAGTCTTATCAAAGTTTATTTTTAAGCATCCAAATGTATAAAAGTATGGCCAAGAATTTTCTAAACTTGTGCTTATATGGTACTCTGGGAGTTTTTTACATTTGGAAGGGTTGTATTTGTAGTTTCTCAGTTTTCCATAGCCTTCACGTTAAAGGTGGCCTATTTTTAAAGGACCTTTTACAAAAGGAAATATTTGTATGCAGTCAGTTTGTATTTCAGAATGACTGACTGATGCCTGAGGATTGGGGGATTGTGCAAAAAATTATAATGAAGAGAGGTAGTACATATGATACAGTGATACTTGTAAGAGTTTCTAACATCCTTATTCAGAATTATCTTTCTAGCATATTTGGTAAAAATAAAACCAAGTATATGTGCCTTGTTCTATATTTCAACTCTGAAATGCTGTTTTCCAGGAGGTAATTTGATTTGAGTTTAGCTTTCCTAGTGAATAACCATGTAGATATGTTAAATTGTAATGCAGTGCTTTTGTGACTTTCTAACAAATCCTGGTTAAGTGGGACAGAACTTCAAAAATTATGTAAGTTGGACCCTGAATTGTGCTGAATTTAAGAATTAAAAATTTAGTCCTGTAAATTATTTATGTTGTGTATTTTTGAATAGAATTGTATGGGTAAACTCAAAGTATTAATTTACTCCCCTTTCTCTTCAGATAGGTTCAAGTGATGTTTGGAAAGTTGGAAGTACACTTGAATGAAAAAGACTTTTTAATTTGTTTTGGAACCGCTAAGTCTTGGTAATGGTACTACAAGGAGGAAGTATTTTCATAAGCTGTTTTTTTTCTTAATATATTAGTAACCACTGACTGCCAGTGGGACAGTGCCACCTCCCAAAACACTGAAGTAGTTGAAATGCACATGCATCTAAATTAGCAGTTATCTATGCAGTTGTGGTTTGACACAGGATAGAAAAAACTTTCTGAAATTACAAAAAAGTACACCAGAGGCAAGTCAATGAACAGCAGCTTTGGAAGAAGGTTTCTGTTCCTCATTTAGGAAATCATCTCCAGAAAGCTCATCCATGGAAATCATCCATACTGGTCCTCCCTGGTAGTGCTAGTTGATGGATAGCTCAAACTTTGTGATATCCTACTTTGGTAAATGTTGTGGTATATACTGTTTTAAATTTATTACAAATGAATGTATAAGAGCAAACAATGTAGTGTGTATTGGCTGAATTGTACTAATTTTTAGTATTTGCCATAACATCAGTTTGTTCATATTGACTAATTTCCCAGTTCTGGGGCATGCTGAATTTCATGTGCTGAAGTAATTTCAAAGATCTTCATGTTTCCCTATGTGGTTCGTAGGAAAACTCTGTAAACATCTGGGAAGTTTACAAGAATATCCACATTCCTCTATTCTTTAATTTTTTTAAAAAAAATTATACACAAGCACTTTAATGATAGTTGCAGTTTATTTTTTCAGTTTATTTTTGAAAGATCAACACACTAATGTTAATATGAAGGTAGTGAATATTTGCTGATGTATTATAGACAATCTGTGCACAACCACTTATAATGTTAGCTTATTTCATTAAATATTAATAAAAAGGGAGGATAGTATGGGAGAATCTCAAAATATATTTTCTCTCAAGATCTTAAATGACCACTATGGGTAGCACTTGACTTTGCATAATTTGGAAAATGTTTTAGATACTTTTTTTTTAACCTTTTAATCATGATTGTAGTAAAACAGTCCCATGCCTACCATTTTGAAATTCTTGGCAGGTTTCATGCGTCCATGGGTTTGTTTTGGGTTTTTGTGTCGGTTTTTGGTTTTGTTATTTTTTACCTTTTAGAAAATACTTTGTTTAGTGATTTGTGTCAAATTGTTACAATTTGAAAGGTATTGTACATTGGAAGAAATACCATGTTTTTTATATAGGTTCACTCCCTTACTTAGGGAGGTGCCTCATGTTCATATATACTTTTTGTATAAAATATATCTAAATGTTGATCACAAGATCAGGAGTAAAAATACTTTTATGGATAGAGAACTATTTGGCCCTGTTAGTGCATTGCACTAAAAATACTGTGAATGGGAACTGAGATTGTAGCTGTTGCTCAAAATGTTCTATATTGAATGTACATGCTTTTGTTTGGATAAACGTACTGTATTTGATGGAAAATAAAGCAGACTGGAAATGATTTTTAAGTGGGCATAAACAAAAAGATGATGTGTTTGTAAACTTGGAATATCTGTCACTCCACAATTGGAACATTGTTTGCATTTTGTAAAGTTTTATTTGTTGATCACTGAAGCTAGTTGTTTGTAATATTCTGTTGTAATAAATGGGTTTTTTTTATTAAAACTTTGGCACTTGTGGAGTGAACACTTCACACTGATGGTTGACCCTTGCTATATTTGTAGAAAACACTGGCTTTTTTGTTCCTTGTAAAGGAACATCTTCCTTAACTAAGCAACACTTGTTATTATCCTTTTAAAACAAAATATTAATATTGAAGGAGATAAGCTTTCCTGGGGTGTTTTTTTTTATAAGAAACATCTAATTGTTTCTTCTTTCTAAACCTTGCTTTCATGGTTGGATATAAGAAAAGAACTTCCATAATAATTGTTTATTCTTTTGTAAAGGAAGACATCAGGCTAATAATGTAACTGCATTTGAAGTCATGTTCCTAAGTGCCTGCCGATTAAGAATAGGAAATTAGAAGACAAGCATAGTGATTGTGTAACTGTTCATTTCTCAGCTTATCCTTGTGGTTTCTGTCCTGGGTAAGTGTGTAGTCTGCATCTTGAAATATGTGAAGGTGAAGTTACTCCTATTTCAGGGTAAGCTATCTACTTACCAGCATATTGGATATGAGTTTTTAATTAAGATACAGTCTTTGCCTCATTGATGGGGCACGTTGGTTTGGCTTGTTTTGCTTAGACTAGCCAAAGACAAATGTAGATTCTTTAGTGGACCTTGAAAATTAAGGCTGAGTCTTGTTAAAAGAGTTTTTTGTGTAGAATTAATGTGAAATACTTTACAGAAGACTTTTGGGATAATCTAAACATTCTGTATGGAAGTCTGTCTTTTTTTGAAGTGATACATATCTAAGGCTTGAGGGGCTAGCTTTCAGGGACGTGAAATCTTGCATTATCAGCAAGTGGCACCATGCTTGCTGAAGTCTAAAAATGCTGGCATCTGTCTCAGAATCATCTGTTCTTTAATTGTTTCTCAGCTGAAGATATCTGGTCTTCCTGGTTTTATTTTTTGTCTTTGTTTTTGGAGTGATTTCTGGGTTTATGTTTTACATGTCTTTTCTATCTGAAGTGTTAGATTCTTGAAATCCTTGTAGTGTTTGATCTCTTTGGTTTTATTGGAGAATAAAGAAATCTGTAGCTTAGATAGTTGGTGACCATTACCACCATTTGTTTTTGATTGGATTCCATTGGGATGAACTTAAAGTTACTGCGTAAAGATTTGTGTGACTGGTCAGGTACTTGAAATACTTTGACAATGAGAACAGTTTTGAGTGGTGGCTGAAAGACCTGTGGGCAAGTATTTCACATCTTTCTCTTTTGCTGAATAGTGAAATACAACAGTTGGTTAACCATGAAGGTAGACCAGTGTGTTGGTTGGGGGATGAGGAGTAGAGAAGAACAGGCCCTCAACGATTGTATTGATGGAGAAGCCCTGGTGTTTGCAGTAATAAGGGGACTGCTGTCTGGGTGTAAAGATTCTCCTCTCATCTTGAGAAGGGGATCAGAGGGGAAGTGAATGATGTGGGATACACTTCAGTTCTGTTTTGTAGGGAGCTTACTTCCCAGTGTCCCTCAATTACAACCTTAAAATAGTAATTTCATAGACACAGAGTGGAATTTAATTTGAAAAGTTAGGATTGTTTGGGTTCATTCATCCCTTTGGGGATTGGCAAAATACTGGTAATCCTATTAAAAGTGTGGTATACTTGGAACCGTGTTTCAAATGAAGAAACAATATCACTGACTTTAGAAGATTTAGTGGGAAATGAAGATGGCCTGAGCCTTTGATAGCACATAGACCAAATACATTATTCTCCAAAACAGATGAAACTATGTAGAGTTTCGCTGCATTGCCAGGAACACCATGGTTGTTCAAAACACATGGTTGTTTTGAAGTCTGGATGGGTGAGGAGCATGTGCTTTTCCATCTTGCTCAAATGTTATTCTTCAGAAGTAGATTTTACAGTGTTTTTACCTCAGTTGTAGGAAGGATTGAGGTTATCTGTGTCAATAATCCACTGTGCTAAATTTGTTAGCATCTGGTAATACCACTGTTTTTT